CGGCCGCCCGGGCTAAGGGGGCAGCCCCGCCCCGCCACGCGGCACGGGGCGCGCAGGGCCCGACGGGAGCTGTAGTCCCGAGGCAGGGGAGCGCACAGCCGACGGGAGTTGTAGTCCTATTACAGCAGCGCAGCGCGGCCCCCTGACGGCAAGGACTCCAGCTCCCAGCATGCCCCGGGAGCCCGCCCTCCCCTGGCTGGCGCCGCGGCTGCCAGCGCGGAGCGGGCACGGCGCTGGGAGCGCAGTGCCGTGAGGGGCCGCGCGATGTGGCTGAAGCCCGAGGAGGTGCTGCTGAAAAATGCCCTCAAGCTGTGGGTGCAGGAGCGCTCCAACCAGTACTTCGTGCTGCAGAGGCGGCGGGGCTATGGCGAGGAGGGCGGAGGCGGGCTGGCAGGTACTGCCCCGTGGGGCCGGGGCGGGGCAGCAGCGGGAGGACGGGGGTCCGCCGGCGCCGGGACTCCCCGCCGGAGGGGCAGGAAGGGGACCCGCAGCGGTGCTGGAGCCCCGGGCTTGCCGGGTTTCTCCCGGGGCTGTTCTCGCCTTCTTGCCCCGGGCAGCGCGGCCCCAGGGCCGGCAGGGCACGGGGGGCACGGGGGGCACGGGCGGGTTGGGCTGCGGGCGCTCCGGTGCCCGGCTCGCCGCGGAGCAGCGGGCAGCGCAGCCCGGCCCCGGCACGGCTGCGGAGCCTCTGCTCAGCGGGGTCCGGGCGGCTCCTGGGCAGCCCGGGGCAAGCGGACGCGTCTGAAGAACGGCTGATCTGCCTTGCTTTGTGGGCAAGATGCTCATTTCAAATCCCTTTTTCTGCATCTGGGGCTGCTTGGGGTGAGCTCCCGCTCAGGCATTTCGGATTGCTTGTTTTCAAAGCAAGCATGTGATTTGATGGGGCTTGTGGTGGGTCAGGAAAGCGGCAGAGGGATGGGACAGGAAATAGACCATCGTATAATAAACTTTATTCCATGAGAACTTCACGGTATGGAGCTGAGTTTCTATTTATAATTCTTGCCTGCTTGTATCATCAGGCACTGCAGTGGCCCCAGCTACTGCTGAGACCTCTGTGACAGTGGCAGCTATTCTGACTAGAACTGACTCCTTTATGGACTGGTGTCATTGACCCTGTCAAGGAGAAATGCTACAGGAAATCACCATAAAGTCATTCCTCAGTGGGATGTGGTTCTCAAGTGTTTTGCATTCCTGTAGCTTTTCTAGGCTCTCTCTAATTTGTGTCATCCTAAAGCATGCTATGTTAAACATAAAACATAATTGTCATGTGGGAACATTTATTAATTTTACTGAACAAAACCACAAGGTTCAAACTTCGGGTTGGTGAATTTCAGATATAGAAATGGTCCTTGCAGCTGGAGGTGGATCATTCTTCATTGGCATCTGAACCACTGGCAGGGCACATGAAAAGTGTGAAAGAAATAATCCCAAAATCCCAGTTTACTATGCATATCATGGTATTATAAGCAGATAGGTAATGCCAGGCCTTGGCTTATAACCAAGGGTGCTGTATTGCAAGCTTGAAAGTCTTGTGGGGATCAGGCTTGATGGCTTGTTTTCTACCTTGATATACTTGGAAGCCAAGGAAACCACGTTGCTATGAAGGTTGACTGTCTGCATGATAAAATTCATTTAAGGACTGTGATTAAAGTGGAACAATGAGAACTGGAGTAAATTGTTCTTTTGAAAACCTCCTCATAGGCTTATAGCTGGATAGACAGCTGGGCCCTCCAAGTGCCCTTTGGGTTTTGGTGAGGGTGAGGCTTCTGTAACTGCTCTCCTGTTCTTGAAGGTTGTTGACAGTGTGGGAAAAACACTTGGATGGGATAAGTGCTGTAGTATGCTTTTTTGGATGTGGCATTGCACATATTATTTCTGTAACTTTTCTTGCAAATTCTTACATATTCTTCTGTGCAAGTTATGTTTTTCCCTGGACAGAAACAAAAGGATTGAGGTATTCTTGAATTAAAATTGTGATTAAGAAAGATTAACAAGACAGTTCTGAAAAATGCACTTAAATTTTGTTTGCAGGTTTGGAAATATTCAAACCTCCTAGGTATAAGCCAGCATTAATTTGATATTGCTGCATGCCACTTCAGAAAATTAGCATTTCTTTAGGAAAAAGGAAAGCACAGCTGCTGTGTTATGAAATCATCCCAAATGTACAATCCTGTTCTCGTGAAGAGTGTTTTACAGCTGGTGAGACAAGGCCCGAGGTGACTGGCAGCACTGAGGGACGGAGGCAGGAGTGAAAGAGGGAGGCAGCAGTGCAAGATGAGTCACCGGAAGAGAGGGACAATGCCTCTGGGCAGGAGTGAAAACAAAAATGGGTGGTGCTGCAGGGTTTGAATAGCACTAATGGGGACGTGACAAAGGATTCCCAAAAATACAGGAGTACAGTTGGCAAGACAGGCTTTAAGGAGGGAAACTTTGAGGAAGCAGCCAGTACCTGGAGAAAGGTACAGACAAAGGAGCAAAAGGTAGATGTCAACAGAGGTGCTTACCTGGAGGAAGGCTGGGAATTCTGGTGCTGTCCTAGGAATAGCATGAAGGCTGCAGTTGGATTTGTTTGTAGGACCCCTCTGGGCTGACCAGGGCAGGACCAGTTTGTAAATGACACAGGGAGCTGTTCTGCCTTGTGTGCACACACACGACACTTCAGAGTTTGGTTGTGTGGACGTCTTGTGAACAGGTCCAGAAACACCTTGTGCTGGCTGTGTCCACCCTGCCTCCCTCCCTGCAGATATGTACTGCCCAGCTTTACACTTCTTTCTCTGTTTTAGAGCTCCTGAAGGGTACAGGTGCTGTAACCTGTCTGAGTGGTGCTCCACTGGGTGATTCGTCGTACAGTGGGCTGTCCCAAAGTGTCTTGGCTGACAATGCAACCGTGTCACCATGTCCTCTGGTTGTTCTGTCTCCTGTAGAGCCACTCTGGGAGAGCTGATCAGGCTTTCCAGAGTGGATGGGTAAGAATATAGTTGTGAATACATGTGCTGTAACTAAGGTCTAGTGAGATTAAGCATGCTGATCAAAGAGGTCTAGCTTTGGTTCTAGTTTAGGAAGGACCTTGATTAGGAGATGGCTACACCGGGAGTAGTGATGCAAATGAGTATTTGGTGTCATAAAATTCCAAGCTTTCATAAATTTCCAGCTGAAATTTTAACAAACCAATAGCTTATTTCCTGCTTCTGCTGTTTCAATTTGCCTCTTTCTGCTTGAGAAAGATAAGTAAAATGCAACTGTGAGAGGAGAAAAACTTATCAGTGAAATAAATATATTGTTGGAACTAGCCTTCCCTGTGCCATGCTCAGAAAGGTGGGGAAAACCTGTGACTCTCCATGTCCTGGATCTCCTGTGGCAATTGGTGCCATCCCAAATCTGTGAAAGGCCCCTCCTGCTGGTGTTTCCACTGTTTAAAAGCTGTGGCTTGTTGAGTGGGCCATTGCTGGCTGGCTTGCATGCACAGGGGCTTGGGACAAGGGCAGACAGAGCTGGGCAGGGATGGGGCCTGTGGGGAAATTTTCCTTCTCTGACATCTGACAGAAGGAACAATGTTCAAGTATTAGTTGTGTCTGTAAATTGTCCCATTGGGAAGTGGCAATCCAAGAGAGTGCTTGGGGAGAGACACACAAGAACTTGAGGGTATAGCACCCCTGACCAATAATGCAGTATCACAAACATTGGCAGTGGAGGACTTTCAGGACTAGGATGGAAAGATGAGTGAGCCTCTGCTTGTTCCTCACAGTTATGGCAGTGGCCATAGCCATGGAATTAGTTTGTACTGTACTGTTTATTGCCTTAAGCTCAAACCTGTGATCTGGATCCATTCATGACTTGTGGCAATGCTGAGGTGATGGATACTCATCTGGTACAGTTCATTGGGTCTAAAATCTGATGACCTTCCAAGGAGACAGGAGCTGTGATGGCATTTTCAGGAGTGCTGCTTTCTAGTGCACTGTGGTAACCATAAGGCTAGCTGAGCTAGCCTTATAAATGGTGAATAATATCCTTGTACTGTATATTATAACAGAAAATGTTATTAAGAGATTTTTGAATTAAATAATGAAATGTTTGCTGAAGCAAAGCCATCTTTGAGATCAGCTCAGTGTCATGACTCATTCAGTAAGCAAAAGCTGCTTAAACAGACATAAATGTTGTTACTTATTCAATGTCTGTCTTCAGTCAGGAACTACAAAATAATTTACTTTCCAACAGCAATTTACAATCTGTTAATTGCAGACAAGACTAGAGATGTAATATACTGCACTGGTTGTGAG